TCACTAACATCAGCGACATAAAATACAAGATAATAAAGATTGAGGACTTATAGGACATTTCACAAATGATCTCTTGCTAGTACTAGAGGCTTCGATGATGTAAACATAATCACACAGCCTCATGATACATGTACCATTAGTTAATTTAGAAAATACACATGTCAAGAGAAAACGATAACGTTTTGACTAAATTAATAGAGATACAACTTTTAACTTGTAGGCATTTAAGTTGAAATAACAACGTAATATTTTACAATTCCACTGTCTCCACAGGATATTTCGAAAATCTGTTTAGAGATGATGGGAAGCGCTCAACTCCACAAGAATTTTTTAACTTGTTCACTTCTTCCTAAACAACAAAACAAATAAGCTCGTTTTGATGAGACGAATTTTGTAGCAAGCTCTTGAGATAGTAACAATTCCGTTTCCAAAAAGATTATGGGCTGTGCCACTTCATATTATATGGTGAGAAAGCAAAGTTATACATGAGAACTCTTTAGTTATAAAAATGGCACTTAAATTATCCAAAAAGGCCACCTTAAGAAATTAAAATACACCTCCCCAGGACAGATGAGTGGTAGTGATCATCGCTTAGCTAGATTACGGCAGGCTGACACGGCGCAGGTAGTCACCGCCGGCTGCAAATTATAATCAGTGTTTTATGAGGTTGTAAAAAAACTCAACTTGCTTCCACTGTCTTGCTTGTCAAAGAAGCCGACAATAAAAAAAAATGAATTAGAAAAAACTCTCAGGGATGTATGTGGGCTTCCATCATTAAGAACACTACTGTCCATGCATGGACCAATAGGACGGTTTGATGATGGCATGGCACAAGGCTTGAGATAGCTTGAGATAGCAATCATTGTTATGTTTGGTACGGAGGCAGACACGCATGCTTTCCCCGAATCAATTTGGCACCGCCTGGCCCACTTTGTCTCTGGAGCAATTTCATGCGTGGTGTATTTTCCAAATTATTTGACATGCCGATCAAATGGATGTAATTTCCCGCTGTAATTCCTGAGAGAGAAGACGTCGCTGCATGAATTAAAGGGGTAGGATCTATACTCTATTAAAATTGAAAATCGTGGCCATTCACCGCAGCAGCTGGCCAAAGTTTCTACCTTCAGTTGCTTCATCCATAGAGAAAGGCCCCGCTCCATGCTTCATGATACCCAAAAAGCTTCAGATTAAAAATAATCTCACTATCAGGCCAATCCTTGGTTTAAAAAGTAGGGGTTGTAAGCATCTGAAGGTACGGTAGAAGCTTGCCAGCCGTCTTGTTTCTGCTGAAGGAACGCAGGACCGATTATTACCGGTGCGTGTTTCCCTTGCTTTCATTCATTGAAATGCACATTTAACTTGAAGTTAATTTTTGATGGAGACGGCTCACGGTACCCAGATCTTGGGAAAGGAAGATAGTTTACTAAACAGACACAACGATTACCTTCACACCTGACAGCAGATATCACAATCGGTATGCAGCCAAGCCACTATACCTTGCTTTGGTCACAAATACTGCAGGATATTTTGAATTGGGTCTAGTAGGCTATACATAAAGGTGTGAAATATTAACCTGATACTGACAAAGGAGGATGACTGACTACAGGAGATGTCGCGCTGCGGTAGAGCTGCTGTCTGACGTCTGATCTGCAACATGACACACGTCTAATGGGAAATCCAACCGTCTGATCAATATGTATTCAAGAAACATTGAGTGTCACGGGTGATGACACTGTGTCACCACACTGGCGGGATATGAACAGTAAACATAGCTGCACAGTGTTAGCAACACAATGGTCGAGACGTACTAATCGGCGAAATACATACATCACCACAGGCAAGATGATATCTTTCCAGGAAACGGATGCACCAAAAGATAATCCAATTTCATTAACTATAACTGATTCATACCAACAGTGCAAGACATATCAACAATATAATGTAACAGCAATTGTCATATCGAGGCCAAACTAGTAAACTCAACTTTGAAAGGCTCATACGATGTATTAAAGGACCGATCACACCCCAACAAAGGAGATATTTCCAGTATTTACACATGATACCATTCAACCAAATGTGCCTAAAAACAATTTCAATTTTTAAGTGTATTCTCTGCAGTCTGGGGAGTTAGTGTTAAACTGGGACTCCAAACTGCGCACTGTCATTTTATTACTTTTTCAGACAGCTCACTCCTTTTTCAAACTGGAGAAGTAGGTTTCATGAGTAAATATACGGTTTTGGAAATCGAAGAGATGTTTTATCCACGACCCACCTCTGCTCGAAATGACAAATTTGTGGGATGTGCCAGAACTGGGGAAAAGTACAGCGATCTGCTTTGAATGATTTCATCTACTCTGCATTTTCTCTGTCCAAGTTGCTGAAACATTCTTCCCAGAAGTGTTTTTTTTACGGATACTGCAGATACTCTTTCAACAACAGAGATGAAAATGTGAGTTTTGATTAACTCTATACATCCAAAATGCCACGAGGAATTTTGAGAATCCAATCTTGGCGAATTCCCAGCGGCATGAGGAATCTGCTCACCTCCAACGCGTTCTCAGCGGAGGAATCTGAAGGGTTCAAACGCTAAACCTCCAGAGTTAATGAATTCCGTGAACCTCAAGCCCTAGTAAGGATCAGCCCCGAAATTCACCACCTCGGTTTTAATGAAAATGCACTCGTAACTGTAATTGCTCGCTTGTTCTGAATACCTCCAATTTATCAACCTTGGCCTTATGCTGGCGCGCAAGGGAAGCTGCAGGAATGAAGAGTGGAATCGCCACTTCTTTTTTTTTAGCGATTGATAGGAAATTCGTTCATTAACGAGACATCGCTCAATTACATCCAAATCATTCAGAACAAGGCACATAGCCGGGGCTGCTCGTCCAAATACTGTACTCCTACATTTTAAGTCCACGGGCTATCCAGAAAAGCGGTGGATCGGCTGAGGTCTGTGATTTTGCATTATCTCTGAGGGCTGTTGGGAGCGGACGCTCCTTAGGACACCCCCCCCCAAGTTTCCGGTTTCTAGTCAGCGTGCGCGTCGGCAAAATAAGAAAGTTTTTTATTTGGTATAAAATGATGTCCAAAGCTGCCAAACCTCCTTAATCGACTGAAATCATGCACTGCATAATTTCAACGTGTTTTTGATAGGTGTACAGTTGACTAATATGTAAAGTAAAGGAGCCCCTCCAGTTCCCCATACATTAAGTTGGACACTCTTTTTCAGATGACGTAATTTCTGTATTATACATTTACATCTGGGAACCAGACAAACGAGGTGGTCTTATGTCCTGTGTATAGGTACAAACTGAAAATGCTTTTAAACATGAAAAAGTGCGGGGGCAGTCTATTTTAGTGTTGGTAGCTGCTGGCGTTACGTGCGCATGCAGTCGCGATGGCCATCGTGCGTTATACGTACATCTTTTCCAAAACAAAAAGTGAGGGTTAAAAACAGCTGCGTCGCCGCACCAGTTCTGGAGGCAGTTCCTGACCAGAAACCGGAGACTTGTTTTTTTTTGGTGTGTAGATTATGTCCTGCACCCGTTGCAATCGGCAGCGCTAATAGTCCAAGCATGGCTTGCTGGAACTAATTCTTGGCTTCCTGAACCCTTTGCCAGCTCGTGGATAGAGAGGGTCTGATAGGGTTGCCCAAGGTTTAGTCACAAGCAAATTAAAATTTCAATTTTTAATTTATTTGTTGAAACCGTGGTAGCATATGTCTTTTTTAAAAAAGGGGGATTACCCCTTCCCAATATCTGACGATGCTCAAAGCCTGCTAAAATACAGTGTGCATTCATCAGAGTCCGTGTATAAGATCCGAACATAGTTATATATTTTATCTTCTCTTTTCAAAAGCAAAGTAAAAAGAAAATCGCGGGGGGGGTCAATCCCCGAGGCCCCTCTTGGGTGGGAGACTGGAATAAATATGGACATTTTTAATATTCTAAGACACAGATCGTATTTTTACTGATCATGATATGAGGTCAAGGCCAGGTGTTGAGCTACTACAACAGGGTTTTCATCATAAATATACAGTAAGCTTTGACAGAACATTTTTACACCATCAGATTTTCATCGATAACGGAGGATTCTTATTAAAAGAATCCTCGGCGTTCTTCTCTAGACTGCTAATTAACTCTATCGTCCTTCAATCTTCCTCAACCTATCACTTGTTGAGAATTTTATCAAGGGGCTCTGGTTTATTCCTGCCGAAGGTTAATCCCGGTAAATTCATAATGGTGAAGCACTCATGCAAAGTGTGAATATTTCTGAAAGGAAAGGCCAGAATGCAGTCAGCGCGTCGGGTATACGTGTGCTTAATTTAAATGGTGTTACCAAGCAAAACAGTTCCCGGCAATCGCATGGTCACAGAATATCTTGCCTTTTTTTTCAATCGGAAGGACTGCGTCTCACTTTCAGCTTGTATGTGGTTTCATGCATTTGATTCAACCAACACTTGCGCGATAGCTTCTTCTCAGAGCTCCAGCACGGGGTTGTCAAATATACCTTTACTTAACTGGTGAGATTCTATCCTGGAGAAGATCAAGATTCTGTGAGCACACGTCGAGCGTGGGCGAAATGAGCTTACACCCGAAAACCGCTGACAGAGAGAGAGGTACTGGCTGCGAGCTATATCTATCCCAATAAAGAAGGGCATGGAACGAGCTTGAAAATTGCGAGGAACTACGAGAGATGGAAATGCAAGTCACGACACGATGTAATTAGGAGCTGGTGAAACATTATCTAGAAACCCACCCGGTTAAGACGAGGAGTTAAAATCAATCAGTATTTGAAATGCTGCACTTTGTGTTGAGAAAATACGTGTATCGCACTGTGTAACACAGTGTTGAAAAAAGAACCTAAATTTATTTCACAACAGTGTCTCACAGAACAGGGTACGTGCAATGAGAAATTTCAAAGACTAAAATTTGTGAAACGTACATTAAATATATGAGTTTTATCAGACAAAAACAGTTTAAATTAAATGAGCGTCAAAATTTAATAGGCAGTAATCTGGTTTGTTTTATTTTGTCATGCTCAAAACATTGCAGTATACACAGAAATCAGGTAACAACAACAAGCAATATAATACATTTTGTCTAACCACCAAGCCTTTGAACTTATATTTGTACAAGGCAAACCTCAAGACGTTAAGAAAGCAACTATCATACTCCATTCAACACAAGTGTTTGGATTTACTAAACACACAGTTGGGATGTTGGCATTCTGCGTGCTTGCACAAATAATGCCGGGGGCGACGCTTATAACCGAGGATTCTTCCCGGAAACTAAAATTTGACATTGCACCTGTCTTAACGACCAGACCTTCAATACTAGGTTAAGCCGTCGGGGTAAAGAGGTGTCTGGTTGCTTGAGAAATTGAATAGGACTGAAATTGAATAAAGACATCAGATGCACTACTGTTTCAAGTGATTTTCGCATTGAACAATTATGAATGAACTATAACAGTAAACATCAAGTAACAATTGTGAATTTTCAATGTGGTTAAGGATTACGCTTATCAGTACACCGTGTGTAATATACGAGCTAAAATTGTTTCATGTAACAAGAAGCCACCTCTTAGGTTTCGCTATGATCTGAATAAAAACGTTATTTATTCACATTTTTTCAGTTATTTCGTGCTTTGATCTCTGTAATCAGAAAGGTGCCTGATATGTATATCATGAAGTAACTAGATTAAGTCGAAGAATTCGTCTCTTACAAAGACATTCGACAAGCGCTGCCGTCGCCTTTGTCCGATAATTGATGAAAATTGCAGCTTGTTTGGGGGTGCGCACAAGACTATTGCAGGCGGCACATTCACCGACAGCCGCGTATGCGTGCAGTGCACGGTGATGTGTCCCAATCAAGGGGCGCCTGGGATCTCATTCAACATGAATGTCTCATGCTTCCGCCATTCGGCGGGAATGATCACTTTCGTCCGCCTCGACGCCCCTGCATTTCAATGAGCTCACTGCGACACTGCGAAGCCTAAACTGGATACCTAGTCAACAGTTGTTCTCACATTTCTCAAACAGTTTTGAATTAATATGTGCGATTGTGGCTTCATCCTTATCACGACTTGTAGCAGGTCATCGGCACAAATACCGACAACAAACCAAAAAAAAAAAATATGTATATATACTTTACACTCTCACTGTTTTTCACAGTAATTACCGATACTCGCGCCAAATCAGGGAATGATTCGGCAAAAAAAAAACTCAGTGAGGACAGTCCTTTTTCATGTCACTCAATACGGTAGGAGTGTCAGTCCGTCCAGCTGTTTGCGTGTTACTGTCGGTCATGTCAATGGACGCACAGTCGGTATTTTCCCGGTAATTCGCAAGTCATATATTTAAACGACTGAAAAAAAAATTAAAAAACCGTAAATCTAAATGGTAACCTTCCTTCTGGAGTTCCCCAGGACTTGGAATATTATGGTCGTCACACAGAACCAGCCTTGGCAACGAGAAGCTGCGCCCAGCTAGGTTTCAACAAATAACAGAAAACCAATTTGGGGGGTGACAACTGCAGCATAGTTACGGTGGGCTAGCGTTGGTCACAGACCCCATCACCACTTATTATTAGAGAGCAAACCGAATGTTTATTCAGGATATCATGAATGTCAAATCGATTCCTCTCAAGACCTACTTCAGGTGAAGCCTGTCTCCCTTAAACCTGACAAGTCAACCAAACTGACTCTAACCACCCTTGAGTTATTTCGACAAGCAATGTCTCAGGAAATGTTATGCTGAGGGTGTGGCGAAATCTACATCTCAGTCACGCTCCGTGTCAGTCCCCTATTGTTTACAATTTAAATTGTTCACAACGAAAACGATCACAATTGTTACCAAACCAGTCAAAATCAATCGCCACAAACTTGAAGAACTGAACCGGAAAATGTTCATTCATCACCAGGATGCAGTCAGTCGTTAAATGTGCCTATGCTGGTCCGTCTGTTCTTCCAACCGAAAGTTGCATCATTCATAAAGGGTCTAATCATGAGAAAGCCACCCACAAATCGTCACCGAAGGCGCAAGTTGGTTTGCTAATCCTTTTATCTTACCGCGAAAAGCATGTTGACAGAATTACCGACGCACACATTCAGCAATCCGTTTTCTGTACAAGCCACGTTCGAGTGTAAAACTGCTGATGAGTTCTGAATGCATTTCCACCTTCGAGCCATAGGCCTATGATGATCATAAACTGTTTTCTTAACTTACGCGAAAGACATGGTTTGTTACGCTGCTGTTAACTCTTTGATCTACTTTAACCCCAAACGCTGCAACCACGTCAGTCAACTTATATGCGATTACTTTAAACTTAACCAATGGTGCAATTATGACCAAAGGAGACCGTGTTGAGCACAACATCAACGATGACAGGTTAGTCGGGCAGGATTTACTCACAGGGCGACCGAGCCAAATTTACTTCTGCTGAACGCAGCATCGCTCCCACATAAATAAATAACCTGCGTGTACATGAATTTACTTGTATCACGACAGGACAGTGATGAAAAACAGGCACAGATATACAAGACAGGGTGGCGATTTAAGAAGAGACAATCATCATCAACCGCTTCGGTTGATATGACTTGGAAAATGAAAAGGGAGCAGCAACGGGCTTGATTGCGCGTAAAACTGAGACGGAGCATAGTAATCCTACAGGGTCCTCTTATAATTATGACTGTAGATTGGGCGTACCGCAATATGAGGACCACCGTAAATTAGCCGAGGCAGGTTTTTCTTGGTGCCGAGTCATATTCTTCGTATCTGTTTGCACTATCTTCTAAAGACAGACAGATCCGAGTCTTGAGCAAGTTCACAGGACTCAAACTATAGAAACACACGTAGGCTTAACAAGTCCTGTGCTGCCTCAGATACTTTCTCAATATCACAGTCGAGAACCGTTCCTCCCTTTGGAAACACTCTAGGAGTTGAGACTCACGCGAGATAGGTTGACATACACACACGACGTCAAATGCACGTGCTCATCACGCATACCACACACGCGGAAACGAATGTGTCTACTGCCAGCCTGTTCTACTTGTGACATATCAGTGATTTCTTGAAAATTGTTGTGTCGAGCAATCTTTAAATTCCTGGAGCATCTTCTAAATGATCAGCATTATTTCAACTTCAAAATAATTACACATTACGGTAAGCAACATAAAGGCTCAAAATGGTAACTTAATACATGTGGAAATCATTTGAAAAACTAAACACGGGAACATGTTACCAGCTAAACAAAATACATTTCAAAGTGTTTTCCATTCGGGACGTGTGAAACGACATAATATGCTTTTCTCAAAAAGTAAAGTTTCGAGTAAAGTTTCAAATTCCAGGCAAAACGTGCCCGCAACAACCTAAGCAGTACCATTAACGACGCCTGCATGTTGCCTGCAATTTAATTGTGTTTTAAATATTCATGCATGTGTCTCCTGCAAAGCGAAGGCTATTTACACGGCCAGCTTATGCATGCAACGCCACAGCTCTTGCGTGCTCTTGTTGCTTTCTCTTACGGTTGATTACTTAACACCAAAACAAGGCGAGGATTGGTTCTCTTTCAAGAGGACGGGCTATGCCCCCAGGCAATAATTTTTTTAACAGAATGAGATGAAGGTAATTTGGGAAGCCGTTTCATTCCCCTTCCTTTCCTGAAGCATTTCAAAGGCTCCACAATTTAGCCTAACCTCTCAGAAAAGCTACGAGAGGTTAAAAAACAAATTCTACATTTGTTTTGACTACGGAAAACAGAATATTCGTCGTGGGTCCCCCTCTTGTTTCCTTGAATTCTCCAATGTCAACACTGCGTATTTTTACCGCATTGAGCCTTCCCGTTTTCTGCCAGTGGATTGCATCCATTTGACAACATAAATTGTTATCTGACATACCTTTCCAGGAAAAGGTACATTTTCCAAAGACAGGTCTAGGCTACATTTGCACAACTCTATTCAGTGACTGTGCTCAAAACAATGAAATCAGAAAAAAGGTAAGACAGAACCCTCCGTTGGATTCAATTGAAACTTGAAAGACATAGTCATAATGGATATTTCATGTGTTTGCCAACTTCAATGAAAAATGATTGGTCATGAAACAGCTGATTCTGGAGTGCCTGCGGTTGGTCCAAAAAGAAAGTCACCCAAACCCAGCCTTTTATGGGGTGAATACAAGCAAAAATGTGTCTGTAAGCACGATTACTGTCACAAAGAAGACAATATTAATGCCGCCCCTAGTTATCCACAGCGTTTTGTAACACACACGGCTACTACTGTTTCAGTCCGATGGAAATGACATTGGTGATGAAGGAATACGTCCGTCAAAACTCCATTAAAATTCGGGGGAAAATACGAAAATGAAGGACAGCATATTGGCAAAACAACGAGAAAAATTTAAATAATAACAATTGGAAACAATTGGATAAACATTGGACCCTCAAGACGTGGATATTGATCTTAACACCATTTCCGATACGACCCTTGACTTAGTTACAGCTATTAACAGTGAGCCAGAGCCCTTTCTTGTCAGGAAAGAGCTGGCATTAAATTGTAAACTGGCAAGAGAAGCTGAAGGAAAAGTTATTATTGGTCATTGCTCATTGATCGAGTAGCAGTGGTACCCGAAAAGAATCAGTCAAACGTGATTAATGAGTTCCAAACATTCCTTTAAAATAATTATGCAAAGATAAATTCTCTGACAAAGAGCTTAAACAGTGGCACCACTCACATAAAAGGCACTGTACTAATAAGTGCTTTAAATATTAACTGGACATTTCCAGATTTGTACACCACTGGATTTGGCCCCACACAAATATTTACCACTGTTAAAAAACACAAATAGATTTGACTATAAAAGTTCTACTGATTGAGTGGATTTGAAGGTTTCGTTTCCTGTACATTCAATCATTTCTCACAACATTGCACTGTGTAATATTATCGTACTAGAATCGATGTACTTCATTGTGGTGAGTTTACATTTCCACTATTTTGATATCTACTCACAAAAGCAAATCAGCTAAAAGCCCACACTTTGTATTACTCAAGCACGTGACGAACACAAGTACATATATAACAATCCACACTGCACCTAACCGGAGAACAATTACATCACTCTTTTTTTTAAGATTGGTACCTTTGATGACCAGCCTAAGCCACAGCATATTAGGTGGTTGATTCCTGGATAAACATCAGCAACGTGCACCATGAATTAAAAAGGAAAAAAATATAGACAGGAGTATAAGTGACCGTTTTAAGTGCCAAAACATCATTGACAGATGTTTGTCATGCATTTCTCATTAATGTGTGCATTTTTACTGACTTGTACATCTGTACCGTTCAACCGCTACGAAATAATTTACAGAGTATTTACATGTAACACCTCCATATACGCAAAAGTCAGAAAATATCCTACTCTTACTTCTAGATACTAACAAATGAATGTTAGCCGTTCATAAGGTTAAAATTACAAGGAACCACAAAATGTGAAAGAAAACAATGAAATGAATATGTCGTTGCCGGTACCCTGGAGTGACCTTTCTCATCCGAACACCAACTCCAGATTTGCCAAAGTTTGCTACTTAAAAAAGCGAAATATCAGTTTTGCTTAATTTTCTGATAATCATTTGCCTCCAGTCCCACCAAGGGACCTCACTTACTTTGCTTTATTTCGAGATTATAAATGTCTTTCTACTTAGACCTACTTTCCATTGATCATTTCCCTTAATTTTTTTTCTAACTGACTCCAGTTCAATGCAAATTAACATTCAGCGAATTCACGGTAGGATCTTTGTTCGTTACACTGCCCGGACATATTATAATACACACCCTCAAGTGTCTTCAATTAAAATGAATAGATACAGAGGATGAGGGTGAAAATAGCACGAATGAGGTATCTCGTCAATGATTCACTATGGCACAACATACCAATTCATTACGGCTGTTGGCTACACAAAACCTTAGAATCCAAGTATGCAGGATAGCAGGTCTTGTACAAGTCATTCGTGGAATATTTTAATATTAGTATTAACTTTTCGAATCTACTTTACACAGGTAAGGCACTGTTCATTCTGATACCAACTGATATATGTAGCAAGAAATATACTGTCCAGACAATTATTACTTTGTGTTCTGGGCACGCAAAAGAACAGAAAAATTGATAGATTCGACTGGATGGAATAGTTTACTGCACAACTCTGTCGTCCTTCATAAGTCCATTTCAGTCATAAAGGAACATTGATTTTTAATCGACTGGAGTATTATGTCCCTGAAGGCTATGGAAATGGTTGTTAAACCAAAAAGACACTTCTTATGAAAATAAAACGGACAAGACCTATTGGCAACAGACCGTATGTCACTTATTGAAACTATCCTTGAACCATTAACGAAAATTCAGCTAAATTTATCGTTTCCAAATTTTGAGATACTAAATAATTCATAATTTACGACTAACATGCACAAAATTGTTCAGTTCTTCCAAAATAAGCAAAAGTCACTTTCAGTGGCCAGCTAAGATATACTTGTATTTACACTTTAAAACTGTATAATTTAGTCCTGCAATCGAAAGGGAATTTAATTAAAACTCGAACCACGTATTCATTTAAAATTATTTCTCTATTTGGTCTCGAGACTCCCTTCCAAAGAGAATAATTCAGTCTTTACACCAACTTAAAATTTACAATCAAAGGATGATAAGGCATTTAAAGTCACAGTATAGTCTGCGACCAGAGTTCAAACCGCGCGCGCTACGTTAATTCCACAATCAACCTTCCAATCACAATTCTTGGATAGACTTCACGTCTATAGTCCTTATGTTTTCATATACATGTAGATGACACAGCTAGACTTTTCAGTGGGAATTGTTGACTGTAATTTCTGGTTTTAGAAACCGTAATAATTGCAATCCTAACATCACATTCTCAAACACTGCACACGAAGAATAATAAGTCAGTGAAATTTTGAGTATGCTATTAAATGAAGCCCGCAAGTGCTCAACAAATACGCAATGTGCAGATTTCTGGTTGTCTAATTCGTGCAAATGTTCCAAGCTGGCTCGATGTTCTTCAAGTGTGGCTGTAAATATCGTCTGCTGTGCTCGATACAATAGATGGAGACAGGAGTGCGGGCATATCGATCAGTACAGCAGCAGTTCATCGGCGTAGTAATCGGGATCCATTCTATTAAAACGAGTACACCAAGCTGATATATCGGATGAGGTTCATACAAGAGGTATCAAAGCTGATGGACCCAACTCTCTCCACGAGTCTGTAATTTACCCCCTTTCCCATGACAGTCTTTCCATCAGATTAAACTTACCTTCGTTGAGTAACGAGCTCTGGACGTGCCGTGAAGTCCTCAAAGCACCATTGGGAGTACATTTTCACCCGTGGAAAATTATATCACCTGAAGCCATACATGCATTAAACAGACCTGATCTTATCTTTATGAGCATTCCCGAGTATGATATTTTTAAGTCAGAGGTTCAGTTGGAATTTCGCAAGAAGAGCAAGAGTTTTCTCTTGGTCCCGTGGTGGTTGCGTCGTCTGCGACTTAAACCTGAGAATCCCTGCAGATGTCCAACAGACTGGAAATGGCGCTGTTCTGCGACGTGTTGTTAGCCTTTCGGAACTTGTTCTTGCCAAAAGGCGGGAGGAAAACCACACCAAAGGCGGCCCGATACCTACTACTCATTGAAATGTAAATCACGGGGTTAATAGCTGAATTCGTGTAGGACAAGCACTTGAAGATTTCCTCCAGAACAGCCGTGGTGCCCATGGGCGTCACTGCCTTGACCAAAGACAGGATTTCATACGGCCCGAGTAAGACAAAAAATACCAGACCGTTCACTATAAGCATCCATGCAATCTGGTTACGCAACCTGGCGTTTTTGTCCTTGAGGCTTGTGAGACGTGCACGTCTGACGGACGCATTGAGGCCACGCACAATATTCACGTAAAGAGCCACGTTGATGAAGAATGCCACGATAAATGGAATAGTTTGCGCGACGTGTGTGTAAATGGTCCACCATCGCTCCACCGGATTGCATGTACTCCACGTACCCGGCCAATGACTGAATTCCTCCGGCCATATCAAGCAAACTGTTTCGTATTTTAGATAACTCGGTATAAAAGTTGCTGACACCGTTAGGGCCCCTAGCCAGGATGCCAACAGTAGCCAGCGATAGGTTTTGGTTCCCGTGCGATTGTGACTCCTCTGTGGATGACAGACTCCTTCGTAGCGTTCCATAGACACCAGCGTGACAGAACACAAGGCAGCTAAGTAGGTGGTACTTTTGGTGAGGTTCCCAAGCTCACATCCTACCAACCCAATAGGTGCGGCATCAGCGTAAATTGGTGACTTGCAGTAAGTGTACAGTCGCTGTCCTATTGCCGTCACCAAGAAGATTATATCGGCGATGGCCAGATTGGCCAAGCATGCATTGGTTACTGTTTTCATGCCCCGGACTCGGAAAACAACGATGAGAAAGGCGATGTTGTTGAGAATGCCGAATATCAGCAGGATTGGCAAGAAGACAGTAATGGTGGTTCGGGCGGCTGGCGAATAGCTCAACAAATCCGTGGCATTGGCTGCCACTTGGAAAGTGTCAGAACAGATTGGATTTGTGTAATTCATGTTCCAATCCATGGTCACGGTGTCGATTTAAACTATTTTCAGCACAATCAGAGTAACGATATGCATCGACGTTCGTCTGTCCATGTTCTGGGCTCGTATACCAAAACACTACGGTTATAGATGGCGCGGTATGAGCGGAAGCTCCCTGCCATCTACGGACGACGAACCTCATGCAGTGAGAAAATCGGGACCCGCACTGCGCATGTCTTCAAGAGTTAGTCGCTGTCAGTGCCTCGTTGTCCCGTTGCGCGGGGAGGAGCTCATGAATTCAAGCTTGCATGGTGACCAACAGCGTGTACTCAACTGACTGTGAATGCTTTCTCCACGCCTGGTTTTACACAAAGTGCGCGTTTGCCTCCTCTTGGCATCCCTGGGCGCACAATTCATAGTCAACACGGGTCACGTACTTGTCTCATGGATTACCGAACGGTCATGCCATGGCTTTCTTCCCTTTCTGGCCGTCTCCATTTGTCAGCCTCTCTACTTTTTTATCGATCTCGTGGCACTCCGCGGGAGTTGATACAAGAACTCTCCCTGGGAATCCAGACAACTGGATCGTAACTGGGTTTGTTGGGGATGCTCTGGCGATGCATACTCGCCCTCCTTACATTTTGAAATTAAAAGTGCCAGCCAGATTGAAATTCTTTTTGTGAAGTGGTCCTGAGTATTCATGCGCTGTTCAGGCATAACTCAATTTTTTGGGATTCATGTCATGAATGTGAATGTTAAACAGTGGTTTTCTGTTCATATCACTACTTTATCTGGATCACTGCTTAGATCAAAATTCCGCATTTGTATATTTTGTACTTACATTCTCCCATTCTAGAAAATAATTTTATGAATCTGCCAAACAGTAATTTAGCATTCAATACCTTGGAACTCACTTTTCAGCATATTTTAATCGGGCAAAAACCACTATCCCCACTGGAGACAATATCTCTCACAACTGCCGTGGATGTCTTGGGATTAAATTACCTTTCCGCCTTCGTCAAGGCTTTGAAATTATGATGATTTTTTATTACGTTTCGAAGTCCACGTACAAAAAGACGTTGCCACAGCAACCTGATGTGTTCTCCTTTTTGATCGGTAAAATACGTCGACTCCACCAGCTTGGTGTTTCCCATGTGGGAACGGGTATTCTGGATTGCCAGCTTATATCCTGTCGTATTAACGGCGTGGCGTTCATTTGATCTTGTACGGATTAATATGCATGTGCATGCTACTGCGCGCTCCACTGAGTATCTTGATACCATTAAGTGTTACAATTATGTGAATAGAAAAATAGATGTATGTTATGTTTCGTGGATTCTCTATTTGACAGGAATATGGATACTCTTTTTGTTTTTCAGGCACTAGAAAAATAATTTCACAGACCCTGACGGTCTCTACTATAATGTCGATGTCCCACAGACACCACGCTGTTAAGCACTGCAGCGTGACAAAGAGCAATGTTCGCTGTGGGTAAGAAGTATTCGCCATTAGATTCTTGCACGATGTTAAGGGACACACGTCACTACCGTTCATGTTTCTCCACAAATTTAACAAATGTACTTGGACAGAAGCACACGAGACAGAAAAAAAGACGACGTTTCACCGAGGGTTTCGACGAGACATCTGAGGGGAAATCAGCGCACCATCTCGGAAAAAAGTGTCACGTGATCCCGGCTACAGCTTGGGCGTACTTTTTTCGGCTGAGTCTTATTCGATGTCTGAATCATGAACAGTATTGATGCACAGAAACTGTAAGTAATGAGAAACATCAACTTTCAGGGATGTTTTTACCAAGTTTCTTTCCATTTTTTTCGAATTGGGATAAACAGTATCAATGGTCTTGGTATGCAGCCTACACGTATGCCCGCAATTCGGTGTTTGAAGCTTTGACCGTGTTTTGACCATCAGCGACAGATAGTCAACCACTGGTCGGTTTTACCTGGTGCCTGTTTGGTGCACAGACAACCCGGGAGAATTGACCAGTGCACAGTGAATGGCAAGTACACAGTGGAAACTCCTTTGTCACAGAGCGTTGGCTCTGTAAATACAGTTTCGTTTCGCATAGGTTCTTTCGTCTCCAGGAGATTGCTTGAGAGTTAATCAAATTTGTCTATGTTGCTCTGAATTTTTGGGGGCACAAAACTGCGGCTGCAACTCCAGAATCACTGAGGCTCCGCTGATGTTTTTTCGTCAAATTTTGAAGCAAAAGTTTAGTAAGTCTATTCTTGAAAAAGGTATTTGTGAATTTTATTATTGCCAATCAGATTTTGTTACGGTACTGTAAGTGAATTTGCCTGTCAGTATGTTAATTAGAATTGGCACATTACAAGTCTGGACAGACAAATCCTTTGCTTTCAACAATTATGGGGACTATCAGGGACAAAATGGTGAGTTTGTTATCGCCAAAAAATATTCCTGTCGTTTGGCAACGCATGTCCTCACTTTAGGGCGGCATAATTGGATAAATCCATCTCTGTCACATAAACTAGCAATTACCATATCATTCAATTTCCGAGAACTATTATAAAGAACATGTGTGTTATCATTAAGCTTGTCACAGCAATAAACTGGTTGGTAGCAAGCCAGCAACGTTTCTGATCCATTTGTTTTATTTCACTGGATGCAATATCGTTCATCAATCGTTTCTAACAATCATGAGCATAGTCGGTTTCTGTTATGCCAGAAGCTAGTTCAATAATCCTTCCAGGGTAGCAGTAAACGATGATCGTTGTCATGGTCTGTTGATCGCAAGATCACCTTTCATAAGGAGATTCTAACGTCTTTTGGACGGCCTTAATTTTCCACGAAGCAAATCAGCGTTAAAACCTGAAGTCAAGTTTATTCTCAGAAAATTGTTTTCCTTTGCCAGCGGGAAACGCTTTAACCTTCTCCTGATCTTTTTCTTAAAATGTCGAGGGAAAGGAATAATATTACATGCTCTAGCTGTAAATCGATACACAGTGCTGTTTTGTGACCTGCAATAAAAACACCGAAGTTTCTCCTACATTTGCCGTGACAGTGCGAAACACAAACCCGAATATCCAATTTATACACCTCCTCGAAATTGGATATTTCTGCTTCTTTTCTGGCATAGGGCAGGAATCAACTTGGACATCACGGCTCGGCGAATGAATTGAGAAGGGTGAGAAAAATGAAAAAGGGAGACATTCAATACTCACGTCGCGGAAGGGATTGGTTTCCTCTAAGATTGGGGGTAGGGTTTCTCTGATCAAATATTGCGGTAGAAATAAAAGATGGCACAGATTCCTTTACATGACTGCGTTGCTTGTGTGTTGTTGTTGTTGTCGGACCATTATAAGTGAAAGGAAATCTGACAGCAGTTTTGTGTAATTGACCTGTATTATTCCAATTTGGAAAATATTGGATTTTAAGGCTTTTCTCGTGACGGTTTCTTTTCCTTTCAGAATACAAAGACGTGCGTTGCCAATATCGTCATTCATGATATTTGAGTTTAAAGTATAGAATTTCTCGCGGGAGCACGAGAGGAGTTCGGTTGGGAATGGAGTGATTTCCTCAGTTTATTTTTCATCTTTGTAACTGGCTGGGTATTAAAGATTATGTTTTTATTTGCAGTCTTTGATAAACAAATAAGGAGTGTTTGTTTAAAAGCTGAATATCCGTTACACACCCGCACACTCCGTGGATAACACTAAAGCCAAAAACTTCGTACAGGATATTAATGTTTTTAAAGTTCATGTATTGTACAAAGAAAATGTAGGGCTGATTTATCAAATTCTCTGGTTAAGCAAGTTTTTCGATTGACTGAAAATAGGCAAACGAAAGAAAACGAATATTATGCCCCGCTTTAAAATTTCAGATTTATTTCATGGAGAAATTAAGTATGCCCTGCAAATATCGGGATTGTAACCGAAGACTGCTCCTCTCAACTATATTATCATATTATAAGAATATACATATAACGTCTGAATTTTCAATACTTCGACGTGAAGAATCTCGCGACACCATGAGTCTGTCCAATGTTGCTTCAAATTTTGTCCCAAAACCTGTTACAAAACTTGCGTCGAGAACACTGTCCAGCAAAATGACAGGTGCAAACATTTATTCTCTGACGTGTTGTCTTCTGGCGAATTTATGTTTTCGTTTTATTCTCATTTTCAGAGAGGTTGCAAATATTTACCCTCCGGTCGGCATGGCGCCCCGGGGCAAGGACTACATGCTCCCCATCGATCCACCCAGCAAGATGGGTCACGAGAACCAAAAAGGAACGACTTAAAGCTGGCATTTCCACTGAGTTCATTAAGGGCGCAAAGTGCGTCAGCCGAAATGACAGATCACCTAGTCCATTAATTGTCCTCCATTAGTTGCCGGTCGGCCGTCTAGCAGGTGCTGCATTACACGGGCAGGGAACGACAGAAAGTGACTTCCCACCACCAATCCTATCTTGTTGGCGGGGAAAGAGCTGTAGTCATGTTCCTACATCCAAAAGTCGTGTTTTGCTACACGGCCGCAATGAAGGATGTACTAAGACATCCGATTTAGTTTCCATTCTCTTCCTTCACACCGAGTTATAGGCGTACGCTACCGTTCATACAATATTATTTCTTGCTATTTTTGACATTTTACCAATTCCTACGATCACTCATTTGACTTTCTTCTATAGATTCGAAATTGTATAAAGATGAATATTCCTGATGGAAGTGAAAATACGGCAGAATCATATGCATGAGTAGCGGTGTGACAAATGGCGGATTGTCAGATGGATCTGTTTCGTGGGTGGGCAATCGTTTCACTGGTCCCCGTCCCAATTATCAATAAATAAAGGGACCGGCAGCTAGCTTGCATTTGACGTGTCTGATTGGCCCTTCTGTTTGAATTTTGAAACATTAAAGCATACTAGTTAAGCCGATGGGCATTATTACGCGTGCTTCACGTGTCTCGCAGGCAGCCTTGGTTGGCTGCTATTAATCACGCTGTTACAATTTGCTTTCTTGCTAAACATTAGTGTCGTCTTTTGCCAATTAACTTGAAGTCACTAATTATCTTGCTCAACTCATAGGAGCGACCCAATATACTGAACTGGTGTTCAATAATAAAGAGGAAAAAGCAAAAACTGAACGAGGAGAAGAAAAAGACCAAGCCAGGGTGTCGTGATTTGCCAAATGCACGTGTGCATCCAGCTGAACGGAATACGCGGTTGAGCCTGGTGCCACCGCAGTTACGGTGTCTTGTCGAATTAGTCTAGCTATTTGGAGCAAGACCTAGTTGGCGAGGCCTGCAGTGATCAAAGAGAAAGCATAATGAAAATGCTGCATATTTAAGGGCCATCTAAACAAACAA